CACCGGCTCAAAGGATTTCATGAATTGCCTCCTACCTCAAGGAGGTAAATTATATTTATTAAAATTTCAATATATATTTAATTCTATTTTATAGATCACAATCACCTAGAGTTTCTAGAATTGGAGGCTTTGGAAGTCTCCCTGACTATGCAAAAGCCATGGCTCAACATATGCAAGGTGAATCTTCCCCACAATACCAATATAGGAGGAAGCATAAAAGAAATCATTATGTTGATGATGAGGCAGAAGAAAGTTAATTGCATCCTTACATAAAATGAAAAACTTGTTATATATCAGATGTCAATGAAAGTGTCAGATGTCAGTAAAAGTGTCAGATGTTAGTAAAAGTGTCAGATGTCAGTGTCAATGTCAGATATCATAATTGCAAATTATTTTCACGTCACCATCACTTTATAGCACTTATGTGTTGCCATCTCCTCCTTCAACATTTTGTAAACAATTGTATGTGATATGATAGTACCTTCTAGAACAAAGTATGTTACCTACAACTAATATCATTTTATTATATTTTTTCTTTTAATAGTGACAATACTATAGTATAGTAAAGTAATTCTAGATCTTACATTCCATTATAGGGTGGCCTAAAAACCCTATATTTTGCACTAGCCAATGCAGTGTTTCCCAAGGGGATGTTGTTCCTCACCATGAAGCGTATATGTCCGTAACTCATTCTTGAATCTATTGTACATCCATACGTGCATATTTTCTATACCTGCTATTGGGCAATTCCTACAGTGCTCAAGAAAAGTTTGTAAACCCATAGAGCCATTTGGTCCAAGGAAAAATAATATATTGGACACCGAATGTAATAGTGTTCTGTGCTTTCAAGTAATCCCGCCATGTCAGGAGCAAGATCTTGCAAAAACATGTGGCATTGTTCTTGAAGCACTAGAGGCAATCCCTCTCTAATAGCAAGATTCGGAATTTTATATATAAGGAGCTCTAGTTTAGCTTCACTAGAGCCCTCAGTAGAAAAGGATTATTATGTGGAGATGAAGGTGGAATGTTGGTAGAACTTAGGGATGGAGGTGGAGATTGATATGAAATGTTGGGGGGCCAAGTACAAGTAGCAATGAGTTTCTTTTGAGCCATTTCAATACAAACTTCTAAGAAGCTCAAGGAGAACAAAAAAACTATGATGACTATAACTTTTCTAGATAGTTTATATATTAAGTTTTAGTCTCAGGAATGAGGTTTATTTATTATGACACTGACAATACTCAGATTCTTTAAATATCAGTCTTCGAAATGGGGCTTCATAATCAAAGCTTGTTTATAAACATAAGAGCTTCTAAAATTTTAGATTATCATGTATACACATGCTCTATCATTATGATGAAATCCTACTTTGCTACACATATATTCTTTTCTACACATGCCAAATGTCTAGGGAAATAGACTGCAAGAAAATATAAACCACATTATAGTGGTAGAGCACGTTGGCACGCTACCATTCTCTCATGTGAAATTGCCTTTCAGTCTTGGAAATGTAGATAAATTTGATTCTTTGATGTGATATTACTTTTGAGTCTTTCAAAAGATTTCAATTTCTTTTATTATTATTTACAAACAACTCCCAAAACTTTTAATGAGGATTCACTACAAAAATATACCTTGGTTTTACCATATGAGAGGATTGCAATATAGGTAGGCAACAGAGTTTTTAATATGAATTAATATGTAAATTACAAATGTCATAGAAAGTTTTATGGAGTAGATTTCTTGGTGCTTTTTACCATGCTATTCATTTCTTCATTTCTCTTGCTCTAGATTGTTGTTTCAGAAGTAACAAGAACATTTTTATCAATTATGATAGTGATCTCCACATTCCCAAATAAGTAATAAGGACTATGAGCATAATATGGAGATTGTAGTAGTGAAACAAAATTAGCATTCTAACATTCCTTTGCACTACAACTCTTACTCACAGATCTTGTATTTTCCTTGCTTCCCATCTTCTCAAGAACCTTAGAAAATCTTTTGAATGAAGGAATAGTATTTACAATTATAAAAGTATTCAAAATATTAAGTAGTCAAATCAAAATATGACAGCTGTAATAGTAGTCATAATAAAATAATATAGCTTTATAAAAGATAGGTTCTCATGAACTTTATCTTTTCTAAACAATTCAATCTTATTCATTTGTTCAATTTAGATTTCCTTTGTAATACTTCTTGTTGACTGTGTTGACTTGAGTTGACTTGTGTTGAATTGAGCTCAACTCAACTTTGGACCATCCCCTCTAGCATAAGTATATGCATGATGATCAATTTCTCAATTAGTTTAGGCAAAGATTGATAAAGGGTCCAACAATACCAATATCTTGCTATCATGGCAGTAAGAATGAAAAGACTCACTTTTAATACCCACAATTACATTCGTGACATTTTTGCAAGTTTATAATGACTTCCTCTTATTTACATTGGGAAGGAGCCTTTGCATGATGAGTTTATATATTCCTCAAGTTACCTATCATCAACTAAATCATGGATATTCTTTGTAGCTAACATAATCTCCATGTTCTAGCTTTTTATAATGTATTGGTGAGAATTGATTGTCAAATTACCCTCTCATGTCTCATAAGCAATCTCAAATACACTTTAGACCCATTCAAGTAGAAAGAATTTACATACCTTAAAAAACATGTCAAGTGCTCAACCTCCTATCTCAAGAAAAAAAATGGAAAATCCATTATAGCCACGAGCTCTACCTCAAACACAAATCTTGGCATCCAAATAAAAAATTATAAAAGTGAGAATTAATCATGAAAATGAGTATACTTAAACTCCTCTAGCCACCCACAATTGATCAATGCCCTCCTATTGAATATTTCCCTAATGTTGTAACAACCACACTATCTTAATTTAAATATGCACAACTAACACCTACCTCTACGTCAAAAACTGAATTGCCCAATGCCAATATACATATAGATGCTCTTCATAATTCTTCCAAGATTCTTACTTTTAAGTTTCAGGATGGGAGTAAGATGATTATAAAAGCAATTTTTAAACCTATAATAACATCTAGATCATCACCCATGATGAGGAAATCAGCAATGTAAAGAGGAATAATGTGTAATTCCCAATAGGTTTTCATGTTTTTGCTAGAAAGACGTATTTCAATTTGGGATTCAGGTTTCTTGTCATTATCAATTATTAATAGCTCTAGATGAAGGAGTTTAATCAAATGTCCTATTTTCATAGTCACATACAATCCCAAGGCTAAGAGCTTCATGCTCAACAGTGACAGAAGGTGATTGTCTAATTTCATATATGAAATTGCAAGACCCTAATAGTTGTTGGTGCCATCAATCTTAATTAAGCACTCCTTTACCAACTAAAACTCCTTATGACTGCCTCATAAATTTGGCTCTCTCAATTCACTCTGATATTGTGTATGCAACTATTACTTTGAGTCAATTTAACATGCCACCAACCACCACACATTGGTGAGTTGCTAAGCATATAGTGAGATACCTTTGAAGTAATTGATTATAGCACTTGTTATTCCAATAGAGTTATATTATTGATATTACATGGATGCTAGCTTGGCCAACAACAAAAGTCATTGATCCACTTTTGGTATCTGTCTTTGCCTCTTAGGGAGCCATTGTGTGGGCCAAGTGGCAAATTTTAATGGTGCTCTTTAGTGCTAAGTAGTATTGGGCTAGATGTCTTTTGAGGAGCCTCAACTTCAGGGGTTTACATTTGCCAACAATCTTTTCTCTTTTTTTTTAAACAACCAATAATTTTATTTAAAATTTTAGGGTTTTGTAGAACAAATTTAGCAAAAGGTCATAATGGATTAAAAAATATAATATAAATAACCATTTGAAAGACAACATTAGAATTCAAATATAAAAAGAAAGGGTTTATAAACAGAGAAGGAGAGGCCAAAGATCACAAATGATGCCAATGCAACTGCTTGGCAAGTCAAACAACTATGTACATAGTTCTCAACTATCTAACTTCATTCTAGGCCAAGAAATGTTCCAATAGATTGGATTAAGAATATTTTTAAATATAGAGTATTAAAAATATCCCTCAAATATTTATATGTATGCAAAATGCATGGCTCTCATATGACAATGTATATGTATTGGTTTTATTTGATATTGGTTCTTAGCAATAGCTCTTATATGGCAAGGGATACGTAATGCTAAAGTCCATAAATGTGCATTAGCTGGCCATGTTTCACCACAGTGAGAATGACCTTGACCAGTGGCTGTACAAGGGCAAGCGAGAGCAGCTTGGAATCGATTTAGGGCGGGAGAGCAAGCGAGTGAGCTTCCAAAATCTCAAGAGAGGAGATGAGGCCATGCCATGGATTGATCTTTCCTTTCTTATTGTTTATGGTGTGCAAATTTTAAATCATGCAACTTTTCTCCATAACTTTTATAGCCCATGTGTTATTCCATGGTTGTTTAGGCTGAAGACCTGGTCTAATTGGCAGCAAGAGCCATTGCTCTGGGGTTTCTTGCCCAATCATATCATGTTTCATATAGTAATTTTCTCACCATGGGAATATTGTTATCGATTGGGCTTAACTACCAGTGTATGCTGAATTTTGACCATATTGAAGAGAGTATTTGTCTTTTAATACATGCTGTAACTTCCCTTACCTACATTGTTCCATCGACTAAAGGCTGCTCACCTTGGAGACCTGATGCAGTTATGAGTACGACCAGGCAAGCTCAACACTCGCTCCTCCAGATTTTCAAGGACCGCTGGGGGCACACCGGACAAAATCACTGTCAGCAATCTCTGTGTCCTGGAGATTATAGCTAACAATTTGAAGAGGATTGTATAACTCCACTCACGCGATCTTGTGTGTAACCCCAACCTCGATCTGGAGAATGTCAATCGTTTGTTCTCTTTGCGTTTCTAATCCCACCCTGCCTACTGGCAGTCTATGTATCCGGATGATACTCCAAGTCAAGAGTTCTCCTGTGAAGATCATATGCTTTTGGTACTCATACAGAATATGAGCGAGGAGCCATTCTCACTCGTACTTTGGTAGCATTCAAATTTATGGAAACTCTACACTTGCGTGCATCCATCTCCCTGGCAGAACATTTCGATTTCTTTTCTATCTATGCCACTTGTAAGTTATTCCACTCTCCTAAAAAGCAACCCAGGGACCCCAAAATCCTCGTAACACCTAAAAAAAATTACCGGCCTCGACCTCATCCTCCAGCATTCGTGGAACAAAATTTTTTTTCTCCCAACGCTCTCTTTCCGGCATTGGCTCAAATAAAGGACTGCCCCTGGTTGGAAGTGGTGGCGCCTTGCCTGATTTTCAAGCACGACACCCACTTATCGAGAGCCTTCCGCATCCAATCGACCTGGCATTGACCCACCGCCTCGGAAACAACAAACTGCGAGAATCCAGACAGACTCCATGAGCTTCCCAAAAACTAGAAAAAGCGACGAACTTACCCATTCGCGTTGCCTCGAGTGTTGCTCGGGCCACGACTCTAGCTGCTCTCTCACTTCCAGCGCAAACATATGCGCACGGCAAAGGCCAGCAGGATTCAAGTCACTCTGCTGGCGCTTGCTTTTGAACTCCCACGTCCCAATATCTCCCTGAAACAAGCCACAGCCATGGGCATCACGAAGAGAAAAAACAAAAGCAAAAGGAACTACAACTTCATACCTGCAAATCGCCACGAACACCAGCTTCTTCCAGTGCCTCTCGCACCGCAGCCTCTTCCACAGTTTCATCAGTTTCCCAGCCTCCCTGTGAAAAAAAACGCTCGTTTCGTTTGCTTTGGAGAAGAAAAAAAAGTTTTTTTTTTTCGTTACCTTTGGAAACAAGAGCCCTCTCCCACTCTTCGAAGTGATCATCAAAACCTCCAAAACTGGCTCCTCTTTTCCATTGCAACCATCCACCTCCTTGTATCTGTATGGTATGCATCTAAAAAGCAAAAGCCACGGGCCATTCAATCACTCCAAAAGATCCGGGGAAAAGCATGACAAGAAAAGCAAAAGAAGAAGAAGAAAAAGAAATCCTAGCTCATACCCAGCCACGAGACGATAGCCAGTGTGATATCGCTGTTGGTGCCGCCCAGTCCGAGAGACAAGCGCTGTCATGCTTGCTTGTAGGCGCAATCGCGGCGAGAAATCCTAAAATCTCAGCATCTCAGTGGAAAACCGGCATACATTTGCCCTTGCGATTGAGCCCAGAGCATCACCATCCATGAGAAACCTAGCAGCGGTGGAAAACAGATCAATGCGAGCGCCAAAGACAGGAGATCGCTCGGCTCGCTCTCTCTTCTCCCAAAACCCTAACCCTAAAAATGGTTCACGGTCAGAAATTTTAGGCGCAAATCACTAACCAAAAAAAAAAAAACATTAAGCCACGAGAATTCCAATTAGTATTGTCCTCTTCTTTGCATGCACGATTGTAGATCATTAGAAATTTCAGTAGTAAAAGAATACAAGCTTTGGAGAGATCTTCTCCTGTTGTTAAGTAACAGCTGCAAAGATTTCTTTCCCTTCTCTCTAGCTCCAGAATGGAAAGAAAAAGAACGAAAGAACGAAAGAACACTAGAGTACTGTACCTTGGGAGGAGAGGTTTTGACCGAGATAGAGCTTGAGAGCAAAAAGGAAAAGGACCTTCTTCACGCTAGACTGTGCCTTCGATTCCAACAGTCGCGTCTTGCTGCGCGATGGAGGGCGAGAAGTTTGAAGAGCTCGATGGCGGCGGAGCTATGGTTGACGATGGCGTGGGATTGTTCACCCACGCGAACTGGAGAGGTTGTCCTTGCCACGACTTCCCCTGCGCAAAAGCCTTCTCCGCGTCCCGGCGTGTGGCAAAAGAGACTTGGGCAGCGCTGCCTTCCTCGACTACTTCCAAGTCGGAAACTTCACCATAAGTTCCAAAATGCGCTTTCAGTGCCACTATCTGTAAGCCAGAATCACACTCTCGTAAGTCTTGACAGCCACAAACGAAAAGAAACGAGAAGAACTTACGTCTGAAAGCGCAGAAGGTGGAGGACTTGTGATCCTGAATACAGTCGTTCTATTATCAAGCTTGTACCGAGACGGTCCCCATGGTGGTGTTGCAGCAGAGTTAAATTGTTGTCCAGGACGAGGAAAAGGAGATTTTGGAGACTTCGCAGCAGCTGGAAGGGTAGACGAGTTCGTATCCTCCGTATCCTGTGCATCAGATTCACTCGCAGGAAGCGTAACACCCTGGAAACAACAGTGGAAAAGAGTCAATGACAAGAACAAGAAGAAAGTAAAACCAGAGCCAAACCTGCTTGGCAAGCTTGTCTAGCTTCCGCTTGAACTCGTTCCTCTTCGCGGCCAGAGCCTCCTGCTTCTTCCGAATCTCCTCCTTCATCTGTTCCAGCTCCTCCTGCTTCTTTTGCGCCTGCAAAGCCATGCCATTCGTAGCAGGCATTTTCGCTTCCGGAGCTGGAGTCCCTGGTGTAGCCGTCGTCCCGTTTGGAACTTCCTTTCCCGTCGCCGGAGCACCTGGCTTTGAACGATGATAGTCGTAAGGATGCGGGTGGACTCTGTTGTCACGGTTTGCCCAGTCGAGTTGAATGAATCGGTTGCCAAGAACAGCTTCCGGTGACGCAAGAGCTGCCAGTGCACTCTCCCGCTCGTAAAACTGCACGAAGGCCCTGTCCTTCCACATGGTCGGAATCCGAATATCTAGCACCTTGCCAAACTTCTGGAAGTGTCCCTTGAGAATATCGGCTTTATTACTGTCAGTCGGAATACAACGCACGTATAGCGTGCGCTGAGCCTTTTCCGTTCTATCGTCCCGGCCATCTGTTCCACCGTAGCTAGTCCCAGCTGCGGTTCGTTGCGAATGTGAGTGCTTCTCAGCCTGTACACCCCCATTGTTTGCCATATGACCATTTCCTTCCTCTGCTCCTGAAAGTTTCGGCCTTTTCACGCTACCTTTCTCACCATCTACAGGGCCGATCCTATCCCATACAGAAACACCTGGTTCTAGACTTTTGGAAGTGTTGTCACCTGTTTTGTCATCAACCCCGACTTCCCGTGGATCCGATCCATTGTCCCACTGCCGTTCCGAGTTATAGTGCCTCACTTTGTCGGACGGATCCTTGCCACCCCAAAGAGGCTGGTCCGGGTCATAGGAATCCGACACCGTGCTTGCCGGATTGCCATCCTCTCCACCAAGGCTTTCTCGATTTGTTCGAGCCACCTTTTCTGGTGGACCCGATGATGTTCCATTCCTTGCGTTTCCGATCGGTAAAGTCAGCTTCGAGAGGCTCTGCAAAAGTAGAAAGTGGGTTAGCATAAAGAGTAAATGCGACATACCTGCACATCCTCCACGACTATACGGTTTGCACCATGCTCCATGGGACATAAGTCTCCACGCAAACAATATCCACGCTCTTCAAAGTCCAAGCACCTGGTCCTGCTTATCATCGCCATTGGATTGCTTCCACGAGGATTGAGTGGGATCACTTCCAAAGATCCGTTCTCCAGCAGTCCAAAGTTTCCCCACGGGGGTTGCGGCGGAGGACCACCTCTACCACCAGGGACTCTTCCGGGAAAAATGTTCGAAGTGGAAGGTCCTTGAGCTAGAAGTGCGGGTGGAAAGTCGGGAGGAAAACCCCCGGCAAATCTTTGATCCGGAGGAAGCCAACCACGTCCACCATTACCAGCCATATTCCGCTGCAGACCAGGACCGAAAAACCTCGGGCCACCAGCATCTCTAAACGGAAGACCACCTCGCATCCCACCTCCGTGGACAGCTCCATCAACAACTATTCGCGAAGCCAGGCCGTCTCTACCTCGATAAGACCTCCGGTGATCATAGTGGCGATGGTTGTCCCTGTAGTGACCATTCTCCGTTGATCTGCTCCGTTTCCTGTGGTGGCTTCTCTCGTTTTCCTCGGCATCCTTGTCGAAGGACCTTGATCGAGAAATGCGTCTTCTGTGCTTATGATTCCTATCGTCATCCTCGTCGTCAGAGCTCTCGTCTCCATCGTCGTTAGTCTGAATTGCTGATGGTATTGTCCGGGTCACGGGCGTGGGAGAAGACTTCACTTCCGTCGTTGCATCGCCAGCCGGAGGAGCAGCGGGCGAGACAGAGTCCTCTGGGACCTCTACCAAAGTACCATCTTCTATGTCTTTAAAAAGCTGTGTTACGAACTGTTTTGTGCCTGTGACAGACAACATGAACAAGAGTTACAATCTCTTTCTCTGCGTTTCCCAAAAACGTACCATCGCCCAGAAAATCGAAGAGTTTGTCCACGCAAAGGGTCTGAAGCTCTGGCTTGGGCTTGTTGTTCTTGAGGAGCGCAGCTACATAGTTTGCGAGCAACGCCGGGTCCGCAGCAGTCCTAAAGGAAAGAGAAGTTAACAAAGAATTCCAAAACCAAGAACAAATAGAAACGCTTACAAGGGCTGGAGGTTCTTAACCAAATAGCTCTTGAGCGGCCCATCCTCAAACTTCATGCTTCTGCCACTAGCAGAAAATCTAGTACATTTACGCGTGCCTGCACGAAACCAATGCTCGAATTGAGATGGGGTCACTCCACCGCCCGCGCAAACAAAGAAAATGCGTACTCACCAAAGAACCCTAGAATCGGCGCCGATAGCGCTGGCGGAGAATGGCGACGCGGCGAGATCACCGATTCGAATCGAGGCGCGGGGCGTGATATTGATTGGTTCTTCTTGCCCAGCAGCGCTCCCTCCAGCTTCCCTCTTTACCCCAAAAACCAACGCGAGGAAAGAATCTCTCAGCTTGCCCTAAAATGGAGTTTAATAGGCGAGGAATCGAAAGCTTTTAATTCAATTGGTACTCTTCCACGATTGTCATCACTGCGAGCTTCTTCCATAGGGTTCGTCCCACAATCGCCTCTCCGCCGATCGAGAATGCGAGCGCCCACGATAGTAGAATCGCGCTGTAGGCTAGGAATCCAATGCCCGAAAGCACGACATCTGCGAAAGACAGATCGATTATCCAAGAATGATCCAATCCAAGAACTCACAGGGTCGAATGGCGCTGTGCGCGCGGCTGCGAAGAACTGGCCAGAAGTAGAAGCAATTCATGAACCACAGCCAGGGAAGGAGCAAGAATCCCGCGTAGAAGAGGAGGCGCGCCTGATTCAATGCCTTCTCCGGCTGCGCTCCCAGCGCGCCATCCACCGACGGCCACTCTGGATCGCCGCCACTGCCGCCATCGCCACCGCCGGATTCGTCCGCCATCGAAAGAACCCTAGATTCCATTCCAAATGGCGCTCTTGCCAAATCCCAGCAAGCTCTGCCGATCGCCGGAAGAAATCGACGACTCCTCCGTCGATCCCTACATCCAGGTGGAACGATTCATCTCCCTGCTCCAGGAATGCGGCGCCGCGCGATCGCTCGCTCGCGGCAAGGCAATCCACGCTCGCATCCAAGAATCCGGCTATGGCGACGATCGACTGCTTGGAAATCTCGTCATCCAGATGTATGGCCGGTGTGGATCTCTCGCCGACGCGCGCGGCGTATTCGATTCCATCCGCGACCGCAACGTCTACTCGTGGACGATCATGATCAAGGCCAGCGCCGAGAATGGGCAGCCGCGCGAGGCTCTCCAGTTCTTCCGGCGGATGCTCCTGGATGGAATCCACCCCAACAACGTGACCTTCGTCAATGTTCTTGGCGCCTGCGAGAGCCTGGATCAAGCGCGATCCATCCACGCGATGATCGTTGCTAGCGGCCACGACCGCGAGGACGTCTGCGTGCCAAACTCGCTGATCTATGCCTACGGCCGCCTCCAAAGCGTGATCGTCGCGAGGGGAGTCTTCGATCGATGCGAAAATCTCCGCGACCTCGTCTCCTGGAACGCGATGATCTCGGTGTACGCCCAGAACGCGATGCCGATCGAGGCGCTGGCGATCCACCGCGCCATGGACGTGGAGGGCGACGAGATCACTGTCGTGAGCGCGCTGGACGCCTGCTCCACGCTGGGCGATCTAGCGCGAGGCAAAGAGATCCACGCCAAGGCGAGCCAGGCCGGATTGGAATCGCTGGTCGCGGTGGGCAACGCGGTGATCAATCTCTACGGCAAATCCGGCAGCGTGGGCGATGCCTGGGCGATGTTCTCGCGGATGATCCGTCGAAATGTGATCTCCTGGACCGCCATGATCACCGCCTATGCCCAGAACGGGTATGGCCGCGAGGCGCTGGAGCTCTTCAAGCGGATGATCGACGCCGGGGAGCCGCCCAACGACGTCACCTTCGTGACGATCCTGGATGCCTGCTTTGGCTCCGCGACGTTGGCCGAGGGACGCTGGATCCACTCGCTGTTGATCGAGTCGGGGCTGCTGCTCGATCGATCAAACTCCACCACCGCCACCACCTTGCTCGATCGATCAAACACCACCACCACCGCCACCACCTTGATGAACGCCGTGGTAAACATGTATACCAAGTGTGGTAGCATCGATGACGCCATAGCTGCCTTCCAGTCGATGCCGAGCAAGAACGTCGTGACTTGGTCGTCCATGATCGCGGCGTATGCCCGGTTTGGGCATATCACGCTCGCCTTTGAGAGCTTCCGCGAGTTCGTCCTCCAAGGTGGCCTCGCCGACGATGTTACTTTCATCAATCTCGTCTCCGCCTGTAGCCACGCCGGGAAGCTCCGAGAGGCCTGGGACTACTTCATGCTGATGCGGGGCGAGTTTGCGATCGATCCGGTCCGGCAGCACTACGTTTGCATTGTCGATCTCTTGAGCCGGTCCGGGAGGCTGGTCGAGGCGGCCGAGTTGCTCAAGAGCATGCCGTTTGTGCCGGATGTTATAGCCTGGACGAACTTCTTGAGTGCCTGTGGAGCGTACTCCAATCTGGAGCTGGCGTCGGAAGCGTTGTATCAGGTGTCGGAGCTTGAGGAGGAGTGCTCCGCGGCATACATTCTGCTAGCGAATATCTTTGCGTCGGCTGGTCGATTGGACGATGCTGAGCGAGTGCGGAAGGAGATGGCGGACAAAGGACTCAAGGCCGTCACGGAGTCGAGCTTCATCTGGTTAAGAAAGCAAGAACAAACTGAGAGGCTTACGTGATGCGCTCTCGCAGAGTTTCTAGTCTGGAATGACCACTTCGACGTGTTTCTTGCCGTCAACGAAAGGCCTGTATGGATTGTGGTGTTGCAGCCACTGCGCAAACCATCTCTGAAGAACTATCTGGTCAAGGAGAACTTCACACGGATTAAACGAGGAAAGACGAAAAGGATACGATCACTTGGAGTGGCTCCGAATGTGGTTTGGCTGTGGCAAGAGCAGTCAGCCCCTCGATCAAAGTCTTCTTGAGGAACTTGTCAAAGTAGAAGCGAGCCTTGGGTGGATCGAGAAGAGGGTCCAAAATCACTGTAAAAGGAGAAAGATGATCCACCTCAAGTGAACAAAGATATGCTTCTTACAGTTGGGGAAGAGAAGTTTGATCTCGTGTCTTGCTCGAGCAGCGTTGAAGCTGCCATGAACAGCATTGCGAAGTATGTCCTTTCCAAAGCGTGCTCGCAAGCTATGATTCGAAAAGCTCGTGTCACGCAGTTAAAACATCCCAGGAAATTAAGAACGAGAGAAAACCTTAGAGGCGATTCTTTCCGAGCTTGCTCCGGATCCGTGGGACCGATTGCTACATTCCACGATCTCGCTGCTCGGACTTTGCCCAAGACAAAAGCGTGAACCGGAGCGCTGAAAAGAAAAAAAAAAACAACTCAGCGAAGAAACTATCGACTATGGATGGAACCAAACCTGCTCATGTAGCGCGTCAGCTTCTCAAACCACGGCTTGTCCTGGTGGTGATCATAGAAGAGCGCAGCCCGGACGTTCGTGAACTGCATCCACAAAGCTGGAATCCTGTTTATCATCAATCTTCGCGGAAGAACAAAGAACGCAGCGAGCAAAAATCCATCCCTGGGAGATGACGAAACCGAGAGAAAGCATTACCTGGATCTGAGACTCGTGAACGATGACGAATCCGTGAGCCTGCATCGTGTACCGGATCTCTCTCTCGTAGCCGGCCTTGAGCGCGTCGGGCTTGATGAGCGCCAGGGTGAGCTCAGTGTAAGGGACTTTGTCGTGCGTCGTTGCTTGCGCCTTGTGCTGGAGCTCCGTCCTGATCGCTTCATCCACTACGCTGTCCACGGATTCCACGGCGACCTTGGCCTGATCTTGCTGGTAGAGAATCTCCGCCTTGATCGTCTCCGTGACCAGATCCGATACGGTACTGGCGACGGCGGCGTTCTCCCCGGACGTCGCCCCTCGCGTCTTGTCCACATCCTCCACGAACAGCGTCACGGGCTTCTTCTGCGAGAGACTGTTCACCGATACCCACAGCCTCGTCGGTACTCCTTCTTCCTCGACGATCGCCGCTGTTGCTGCTGCCGATTCCTCCTCCGCCATAGCTAGCGCTTACCGTTCGAGTGCTACGCCTCTTCTAGAACCCTAAAAACCCAGAAACTAAATGGCGCCAAAAGTTAAAATTTCAAAATTTAAATTCAGATATTTCGCGCTCAGGAGCAGGATTTCCACGCTTTGCTTACTTTCCTGGACGCGTATCGGAACGCATTCACTCCACCGGCAGCTATGAATCCCGAGAGCGCTTGCTTCAAGCTCGACGTGCGAACGATGCTCGCCACTGCTTGCTTGATCAATCTCTGCCGGGCATTCCCAAATCTCACCAGCGCATCGGCGACCGCGACGCTGCCTAAGATCCCAAAAAACAAAAAAAAAAAACCGACAGGGTGTGCTGAAGCTCAAGCTTTGTTTCGATCATATTGAGTACCTCCCGATGAATTCTCGCATCCTGTTCCCGTTTTAGCTGCCAAACGCTGGAGAAGCGTCGAAGGGAGGTGAGAAACATGCTCCCGGACGGCATCAGGGCCAAGCTCCTGTCGATCGCAATTAGACGCTTGCCAGCGGTAGTTTCTCAACTAAAATGAAATACCTGTGAAAATCGAGAACTGAGAACTTTCTCGTCCTTCTGAGACAGCTTCAGAACGTCACTTGTTGTTGCCTGTTGGATAGAGGAACTGTACAAGTTGCGGAAATTCGAGAAACTGCCCTGGACGATCTTCGAAACCTGTACGCGATCAATGTAAGACGATGTTCTTAAGATTTCCATTAAGTTACCTTATTTTTATCCTCGGCGAAAAGAAGTCGTATGTCACCCTGGTAGGATAGTCCGCAAATTGTTTCGTATAGTTGTTCCTGCAGAAAAAACTCACACATCGAGAAGCTGAAACAGAGAAAGAGCATTCCAAGTAAAACAAATCTAAAAGAACGAGGTGTAGAGCAAAAATTCACCTCGGAAAATTCGTCAGGCAGTAGAAGCATTGCAGTCGAAAGAGCGGCCTGAAGATTTACTTTGTTCTTCTGTGCTATCCCAGAATGGTCCACGAGCATACACACCTACAAAGAAGTGCAAGGATCTCTCGTGAAATCGTTTCGAAGAGAAAACCAAAGAAGAAAAACTTTACAGGCTTTTGGAGCCGGCCACTAATGTAGAGTCTTCTCCACGTTAGAATGTCGCCCACGAGATCAGAAAGACCAACAACACCATATTTGATCACCTTGCAAGAGGGAAAAACATATCAGGAATGACAGTAAAGAGAAGAAAACATACGAGAAAAATAAGTGTGTAATACCAACTTTGCCCCGCCACTCCACAAAGGGATTGAAGTGAACGCCAACTCCAAGAATACAAGCTGCGTCCGCTACCTATCGCAGAGACAAGTGTTATCAAACAAAACTTCATCGATCGAAAGGCAGGATCGTACCGCTTTGCCGCCAAAGTGAGCGATCCAAGATGAGTAGTGCGATGGATTCATCTCTATATTCTACAGGAACAAGAACAACCAAAGTTCCTTCTAGGTCCTTAAAATCTTCTAAAACATTTGTTACCTGTGAATGCCACTGCGCTGGCGACGAGACACCCAAAATGTAGTCCACCATGCGATCCTGTGGCCATCGCAGTGTCGATAATCCAGAAGAAATGAGGAAGAAACTCACCGATGATTCCGAGATCTCGCGCTGATGGAAAACTCCCGAGCCATAGGCGAATGCGAACTGGACTGGCGGCAGCGCCTGGAGCGGCGCCGCGAGCTCCTCCTTGCTCGCCAATCGAGCGCGCTCGCTCTCCTCCTCGTTCTTTGCCCGCATAATCTCCTTTTCTTCCCTAGCCTAAAATCTTTGAATAGTTAGGGTTCCTCCGGCGGAGGAGGAGAGCGTTCCAGGTAGAGCGGGAGATTTTCTTGCGCTGTGACTGCGGCGGGGCGCCCGCCATGGCGAATCTCATGAGCGAGCTCGAGCGCTTCGAGGCAGAGATCAAGGATTTGGGATCGGAGCTCACGACGCCTCTCTCGCGCTCTTCGCCGCCACGCCCGCCTCCAATGATCGGCCCTTCTCCTTCACCTCCGGCTTCAATCCAGGTATGGCTTGTTTGTCTCGCATTCTCGCTGTGAGTGATCGAACTTTTTGTTTTCTTGGTAGGCACCGATTGGTCCGACTACTAGACCGATTCAAATTAGGCCGGCTCCACCTCCAAGCTCGCAGTTCACATACTTGAGCCAACCATTCTCAGCGCCACAAGTCACTCCAACCTTCTATACTCACGTACCATTCCAGCCACAGTATCAGCAGCCTCCAACCTCGGCTGTGATTCAAGCGCCGCAGTACCATTACCAAGGACTCTACCAAGGTGCTCCAGACCTTTACAATCACCCTCAACAACAACAAGTAAGAGAAAAGAAAGCTCTCCTCTAGAACTCCTGTTCCTGAATTTTTTGGTTTGGTTTTTATGTTCTTTCTTTGCTCCAGGCCCAAGTTTTGTTTCAAAAGGACGCACAGACTATAAACCCGGAAGCGCTGGAGAATGTAAAAGCCGCTCTTGCTAGTGGTGACAACGAGCAGAAATCAGAGGCAAAGAAGCGAGCAATTCCTCGGAAAGCAGCTGGACAATCTTGGGAGGATTCCACTCTCGGAGACTGGCCAGAAAGTAAGCTGCGAATAAAAAAAGAAGGCAATCGTCCTGGAAACTCATCGTTGTTGCTTTGTTTTGCAGATGATTTTCGTTTGTTTTGTGGGGATTTGGGGAACGAGGTTAACGACGAAGTACTAACCAAAGCTTTTACAAGATTTCCGAGTTTCAACATGGCTCGAGTAAGCATCACACATCCTTTTCGGTATTTGGCACTGAAAGTTTCTGATGCAGCTTGTGGATGTCGGGTACAGGTAGTTCGTGACAAGCGTACGGGGAAAACGAAGGGTTATGGATTCGTGAGCTTCTCCAGTGCTGCTGATCTTGCCTTTGCGATGAAAGAAATGAATGGTAAGTTCGTTTCTCATAGTCACTAAACTAATCTCTTCTTTTCCTCCAGGCAAGTACGTTGGTAACAGGCCGATCAAGCTTCGGAAGAGCACTTGGAAAGAAAGGACTGACTACGAGGCACTTGAAAAGCAGAAGGTAAAATGCTCGATTCCTTCTTTTCTTCCAAATTCCATACTATTTGTCAATGTTTTATCTTTGTTTCGTGATTCTAAGCAATCGTTATGGTTTTCCAGAGCTTCAAGAGACCGAAGATCGTGAAGAAAAACGTTCTACACAAATAAAAGAAATACAAAGAATGAAAAGGAACACACTGCTGTACTGATTTAATCGATCATTCATTGTTCCATTGGTCCACGTGTACAAACGGTGGATCCGACGTGGTAGCCTCCCCGGACTCGCAGGAAGCCAGGCCGTTGACGACGTGGCAGAGACCAGCAAGAGGTTAGGGCTTGACAGTCCAGCGAAGAGGAGAAGATCTGGCAATGAGGTAACTCCTCGATTTGATCTGCCGCTCCGCTGGATCCGGCACGATCGAGAGCGAGCGATCGATCAATCGCACAGCGCTTTGGATCCCGCTGTGAGAATCCCTCGAAATATCAAGTGGCAGGGTTTCTTGATCATCATCACTGCGTTTGCGGAGGGATCTTGATCATCGCCATGGTGTGATGGTGCCGAGAAGATGGTTGGGGCATCCAGGGAGAGCATAGGGTCTGGAAAATGCGCAAATGCGGTGCTGTTCTCAGCAGTGGATACTACAATCCCCCGAGCTCGCCGGTGCTCGATCTCGCCAACACGGGCGTGAGAAAGGCCGACCTTTTGGAGCGCGAGAGGGATCGCAAGAAGGTTTTCATCCAGCTCTCGCCGGAGGAACTCAATGTGGCGTTTGGGGACGAGATTGTGAGCAAGAAGGGGAGGCGCTGCTCCGACTATACGCCGCGATCCAAAGGCCAGCTTGGAAACCAGCACAGTTTGACTGATGTGTGGAAGTATCCCCGGAAGGAAGTGGCATCGTCGTCGCATTCCAGGCCAGCGTCGGAGCTCTCCAAAGGACGTGCTTCTAGCAGGAATGAGATGGATCGCCCTGGAGAAGTCTCGGTCCATGTTGGCTCTCCCTCGAGAGTTGGAAGAGATCAACCCAGAGCTCCTGGAGGGCCGGTTTCGATCAGACTCTCGCCATCTCCGCAGAGGTCTCCAGTGCGATCTCCGCAGCAGCGATCGCCCGTGAATACTCGGCCTTCCTCGGCTCGGAGAGTGGATGGCGAGCCGGGGATGCAAGTCGACTTGACGGAAGGAGTGCAAATCCGAGTGAGCAGTCCCAGGAAGAGCTCCGCCACCTCGTTGTCTCGAACTGGAAGTGGTGGTGGTGGTGGAAATGGCGGTGGGATCACTGCGACTGCTTCCGGTGGAGCTTTGATCTCGAGCCAGCACTTTCATCTGGAGAACAATCCTGCGCAATCGGTAACTGTTAGGTCTCTTTCTTGTGGCCTTTGCTGATCGCTTTTCTTTCATTTCTTTGCATACAGACATTCGCTTCTCACCATGTTTGGAACTTTTTGCCTGTTCCAGGACAATGAAGGACGTGAACGTCAGGACGCAAGCTCTCAAAGACGGTGTCCAGGTTCTCGCTTTGTTCTTCGTTTTCTTTCTTCTTTTCGCTCGTTTCGTTCTTCGTTTTTTGTTTTTCTTTCTTCGTTTTCCTAGATGATCAATTGGTGTTTATGTGTAGTTCCGACTTGATGGAAGGCCGGGAGTGCAATTATCCGTGAAGATGGGAGAGCCAACGAAGAACGGGACCGGGCTGAGGAACTCAATCAAGATTGAGGCTCAGACGCCCATGGACGATGATGGCTTTGGAGGAGGAATGTATGGAAGAGGAGGTAAAGGTGGAAGATGGGATGAGTAAGCTTTCGTTTCCATTTTCTTGACAGTTCTTTGCTCAAGATCTCTCGAAACTTACGCTCACTCCACTCACAGATTGCTCTCGTATCAGCGTCCAACCGTGTCGCATCTCATACACGCAAGGTTCGCAGCTTCTCTTTGAGGAATTCTCTAAAATCTTGTGATGTCGATCAGGATGACCCAGCTCTACAAAGAGCTCCGAAAGAGCATTCCAAAGTAACCAAGAGAGAGCGAGCGCATTTTTTCAAGTGGACGGACACCGCTTTACGGTAAGTCTGGAACAATCCAGGAAGAGAAATCTCCCAGGATACTACAGTGTTTTTAAGGGGTAAAGCGAGCTGGTTATTTTAGTAAGTTTAAATTGTCATTTTGCCCTTTTCCTCTCTTCTTGGTTAACATCTTTGGGGTTTCCTCGGCTTGTAGCGCAGGATCGAACAGCAACTCCACGGCATTGCGCGCGACAAACAGTTTCTCATCTCTCTCTCTCTCTCCTTTCGCATCGTTCCCCAAGCATCGAGGAAAGGCACAGATTCTCTCCGGTAGCGCTGCTCTTGAGCTTCTAGGCTTGTCGGACAGGGATATAGAGAGCACAGGCAGCTTCTTTCCTCGCTTCAGCAAAGCGCTAACACCGTCGCGTCCAATCGGCCGGCAGAGGAAGTTCACTGCTCCGGCTCCGAGCTGTCCTGGACCTTGCCATCGTGAGGGATTGAGCCGGGATTGAGAGCAAAAGGCAGCTTCTTTCGACGTCCTCTTGGTTGAGGAATCGATCGACAGGAGCTATCTCAGCGCGCCGTGGAGGAGATCTGCGAGTTTGACGGCGGGCAGGCACGGGAGCCCTCAGCCGGCCGGTTGCATCTTGTCTGAGAAACGCAGCTCGTTGATGAACGGCCGAATGCCTCGGTCCTCAACGGCGGTCTGAACGGATGGAAAAGTGCCGATCGAATCGGTTCCAGATATCGTTGGGTGAAGGAAAGGCGGCTTCTAGCTCTTGGTCGGAGACATCGTCCGCGCTGTCTCAGCGCATTGTGGAGGAAATCCGCGAGCTTGAAATCGCAGCGGAGAGCCGGCGGACAGGCACGGGAGCCCCCAGACGGCCGCTTGCAACGTGTCCGAGAAACGCAGCTACTTCATGGCTCGTTGATGAACGGCGGTCAGAATGGATGGAAAAATGCCGATCGAGCAGCCAGATATCGTTGTGAATGGACGACAAGATGCCTCATTCAGATACAATCCTTTGATCATCGCGTGCTGAGGTTGATCTTGCTCTAGAGATTGAGCCATGGCCATTACTCTATTTACATTGCTCTCCCACCACATTCTTAATGTCCAGTTCCACACAGGAACTGGTCATTCACTTACGGTTCACAAATTTGGCAGATCTTTATACTCCTGCTGCTTATAAATCTTAAATTCCTTTCGTCTTTGACCTCTAACAACGGTTTATACTCTACCGGATACTCCACCCATATTTAATGATTCGACCATAAAAGATTTGGGGAGTATCGCACCGTATGACTCGAGTCATCAAATCTGTGTAGCCTGTAGAGATCAAGCGAATGATCCCACAAACCGGCATGTCAAGAAGATGTTTAAGCAGCTTGCGGGAGTTGGCTATGCTCTTCTATCCAGTTTGCGACCAACGTTCTTTTGCAAACTTGATGCAAACGATGAATTGTGGATCTCTGATGCGATATATGCATCACCGCAACCTGGTCATCACATGCTTTATGAAGCATTGTTTTATTTCCTACATTTGCTTCATACGCCCCCAGCTCCCACACTAAGCCCCCATGCGATTGAGCTCACCCAAGTTCAAGACAAAGGAATTACCCGCCCGGATCTGACCGGTGCAAGGCTCGCCAGATCCGTGAGAAGTGAATTTTGCATCAGGCACAGCAAAAGATCAAGTGCCATTGAGCAGCATATAGCTATGGATGGCATGGTTAGACGTGTATGTATTAGAGTTTTCTGATATACAGCATATTTTTACGTGGCTATGCCTAATGCTAAGATTTTAAGTAGCTATGGTGGGTTTTTATACTCCAATGCCAATGTTTCCATATTCCGTGGAATATATGGAGGCCAAGAAGCTATTTTCAAGTCCGTTGACTTCACAAAACGTAAGGATTATTTCCTTTTTACGCTTGCACAAGTAAAAGCAATGGTTACAATTATATCAAGCAGGTTTTTTAGATGGAAGGGTATTTTTAGTGATTTTAGAAGACTCTCCAAACTGGCATGAAAATGTTTGAGCTGTTTTATGGCTGCAAATCTGAATCAGAGAGAGATCAAGAGCACCTCAACTCACTCAACATCCAAGTGCAAGTTCTTGTATCTGTCACACTTTCATATCAATTTCTAGATATCTACAAACTGCAATTTGCTTTAGATCTTCACGAACGAATGCAACAGATCATCTGCATCGCCATCACTGTCACAGAAGCATCAAGGTCGATCTCCACATAACTTTGCCACCGTCTCCAACGATGATGTTGGAGGACTCAACTCGACCGTGACTCGCATATCACTCAAGGCGGACTTTGCTCTTTTCATGTAAAGCTCCTCATAGTTTCTGTTAATGCTCTTTAAGCCAGATCCCTCCATCCAGGAAATCAGATGCTTAGAGGCGAGGGATAACATCTCCTTCCAGCCGAACCCCTTCAAGAATAACTTTCAGAATTTATAAATCGAATCTTTTAGCTCTTAGACCTTCATGTAATATTCCACCTCGTTACTCATCAAGCGTTGTGGAAGTGCAGTAAAAGATTTCTCTCTTGAATGTTTATAAATCATTTCTGCTTTGCCAGCGCAAGTCTGAGTATCCAGAGGAGCTACTGAGGAAGATCAGAGTCTTGCAAGACGTTTGCATCAATGATCCCGTGGCATGAAAAACTCAAAAGCTAGCTAAGCTTGATCATATCTTGTTTCGTTTTAAAGGCTCTTAAAGCGGATAATGGCAGCAAGATTTGTTCATAAGAAAACAAGCGAAACATCATATTCCTCTCTTTTTTTTTCTCTCCTTTATTTTCAAGTGTGTGAGTTTCAGATCATTACTTTTTCTTTGATCTTTGATCCACAGAAGCATACGTTGTATTTACAATTTAATCTGGTGTATTTAAATTTTTTATAAATTATAAACATATTTATAGTTTATATATAAGATTAATATCAACCATTAGATATTAGAATATACTAGAATATTTAAGCATATTCTACGTTACTACCAAAAATAAAATGCCACATTATTACAAAATTATAATAATCCAAATGATACAAAACTTTATTAAATCAATTTATAAAAACAAAGAGTGTGAGGAAAATTTATAATAAATATAAATTTTAACAAAAGCTTAAGGACAATACTAACTATTAGGATTTTTACCATAATTTTAGTACTAAAAATTATTTCTATTTCATAAGATTAGTTTTAAAATAGGGTTAAGATTTCATTTTGTATGACAAAGAGAGGATTGTCAAAAGAAATCTTTCATAGCACTGAAGGAAGAATCTATTAGGGTTTCCGACAATCCGAAGGCAAGCACGAAAATCTTCTGATGATTCCATGAACATCGAATCGCCTCCTTCCAAAGATAAGGCTATCTCGCTCACTGAGTAATCCCCTCTTTGTTTTCCTCCTTGAAAGGACGATTACGTTCAAGTCTGCTTGGGTCTCAGGAACGCCGTTGGGGATAGTATAAGTCGGGTAACAGGAATTGAGGGTATAACTATGCAGTCTTGGGAGCTGGACGCTAAAAATAGCTTTTGCTTTCACTCGTCGCCGTCGTTTCCTCCTCGAGCGTCCGAGTTATCTTCAGGGGTCCAACGCTGCTAGCCGAGAATGGTCCTTTTGCGTGTAAGCGTTCCCTAGATAAACTGCGATCAACAGTCAGTCATGAACAAACACTTTCGTGAGCTTACCTGAACAGTTGACGTCGCTCATCAGGAGTACCAGTATATGCAAGTTTGACAGCCCATCTGACACCCAATTTGGTAACACCGATGGTATCACTCTATCCTATTTTTCCCTCTAATAAATCCGGTGCTTCTTTTTTCTACCACTGCGCTGTTACTGAAGATCTCACTAAGAGGAGTGTGCGATTTCAAGCCCCGGCAGTGAACCTGAAGAACCAGATTCTTCAAGATTCTCAGCGAGAATTCACCATCGGAATCTAAGGATGGGCAACCGAAAGACTCTACCTCTTAAATCCAAAATGTCACTGGCAAAGAAAACGAAATAGTATGTGCGACTGACGTAGCGGATTGCAAACGAAGACTCTGGAACCGGTGATGGAAATGCTGGAAGCAATTCTGGGTATCTGGGTATTATTAGTGATTGATTGTTTCCACACATGGTAATTCTGCTCTTCATGGTCCTGATGCTGACAACAAACTTCCTGACGCCTCGGACGGTATGTCGGATAGTAAGCATCTTGCTGCTAGTGCGGATGCTGGGCAGGTCGATAATGAAACGAACATTTATATGGGCACGACCATTCCCAAGAAAAATCTCGGAGTCCCGGAGTTGCCATTAAGAAGAAAGATGAACCCCTTTACTTACATTAAACTTCAGTCCGAGAACGCCGAATTAAACAAGCGTGAAGCTGAGCAGATGCATGGAGGTAAGAAAAATGAGGTATCTTTTGGTCTTATTTATCGATTTCCGCAGATCTGGCTAACTGGATTGACTCGTGAAGGGCCTGTCAAACAATGAACCACCTTTACTCAGCGATAAACCTGGCACCGTACGATCTCCTGCTGCGGCGGAATGCAAGGAAACCGAATCAGATGAGCTTGAACCAGAGCAGAATCTCCAAATGCATGGAGGTGAGAAAGATCACGTATTTTCTGTACTTATTTCATTTATCTGCAGAGTTGGATAGTGCAACTTATGAACCCAACGATAAACTTCAGTCCATTTTATCCCTTGACAGCAAGAAAACCGGTTCAGACGAGCGTGAGGCAGAGAACAATGAGGAACGGATGCAGGTGTTTTAAGCATAAAAAAGGAAACTCCAGCTAGCCTTGAGACCAAGTGAGTTGTCTGTCTATCTTAGTTAACCTTCACATACAGTTCTCCCGCACACGACAAGGAAATTGATCCCCAAAAGGACAGCGAAGGGATTTCTTTCCTGCGGCTTGATACTCCTAAAATGTAAGAACGACCTTGCTCCTTTTTCTTCTATAGCGTAATGATACGGACAGCGTTAAACGTCAGAGTTTGCATTCGACTTCTACATTTACTACGGCCGAATCAACGAGGTTGAAAAGGTCCTTATCATTATCATATCGACACTAGAATGTAAGCAACACTTATTGATCAACTGGTAATGAAACACCGTTTTGCAAATCCGAGAACCATGGGAATGATCAAGCAGGAAATGCTGAACGTGTCATTGTGGAGGACGCCGAAATCAGACAGCAGGAAGTGATCCAGCGGCTGGCTGCATTCATGATTTTTTTCTTGTGGCTTCTTACCATCGTCCTGCAGCTTGCGAATCCCAATTGCATTCATCAGCTGGAGAATTCGAAGTACAAGGGTGAGAGATAGCAGTATTTACGCAGCAGCGGATCAGCACGCTGGAGCCATGGGCATAACCATGCACGGAGAGGTAAAGTAGAAAAAGCTCCCTTTGTGTGGATAGTTGGAACTTGTGCTCCTCGATTCCTCTCTACGTTGTTGGAATGTATACGCGCATTCCCGAGATAGGGACTGGGACGACTTCCTCGTCCTGTAGGCCCAGGTGTCATGGCGCTTTTTTATCTCATCGTGAGCGTGTCTCTGAGGGAAACAAGTAGAACTTTGCACAATTTCCAACGTAAATCGAGTTTATGTGATGGCGGTCGATGCTCTGGAACAAGAGTCATATAGTATTGCCAGCTTGGATATATTTGAGAAAAAAATATTCTTGGTCCATTTTATGTTCACGAGGAAATTCTTTACGTACTCCAATCTGAGAAAAGATTGGAGATTCATGAGAGCATGTATCTACAAACATCACAGGATTGTCTTCTTGGGGCCGATTAAACGCCGTCCAAATTGGATGTCCACTAAAGAGGCACATCACCTGTATAGATTTCCTAGCTTCTTTGTTTGATTAAAGAGAATCCGATGCAAACCGTGATGAGATTGTTTGAATCTGGTGTGAATCGGTGATGCATCCCAGCTGGGAGATTGATCATGCCTTCCTAGTCCACACACGAATCCACCGATCACTGCCATCTCTAACGTCAAAGTAGCCTGAAAGAATGGTTAACAAAAGCTATCTTTTTGTCTCGAAAACACTTCCTTCGAGACAGTACCTAATCTCGTCGAGGATCCGCTCCTCGTAGTTGGGAAGCTTACCAGGCGCGATTGTGATGATATCCTGAGCACGAGCACGATTTAAACAAGGTTCTCGGTACATACATAGTAATCGTAGCCTCGCTCGTCTCGAATCCGGGTCTGTCTCGTACAAATCCGCATTTAAGTGCCACTGCAGCACACCGCAAAACGAACCAAATCCATCAAACAATTCGCTTTCGCTCGCGACGTTAACCTAACTCTAGGGTTCCTATAGCGTTTTAGAGAGATGTGTCAGCACACTCCAAGAGGTGGCTACAAGGTATGGGATTCATTTGCGTCAGAGCTCCAAGGCTTCTACTCGCAGCCGGATAACGCCCCTATGTCCATGGATCCTTGCCCGCTGCATGTGGCTGCTGGAGCCACAAGCCGCGATGAGGCATTTGCAAAACTGTATGCATCCCTTGTGGTTCCAGTACAACAGCTCTCCTATGAGTACCAAAAGAGATTCCAAGCTGGTTCTAGAATTCATCTTAGTCATTGCCAAGGCGCAGTCGTTATGTATGGAACTCTGGATAGCACTCCCTCTTTGGCAAATACCGGCAAAGGGTATCTTTTGGTAGAGTCCGACGAGGTTCTCCAGGTGGGGATAGATGGTGGCAGCAATGTTATGCGCAAAGTGTTTGATCAGGCAGCCGGTTATATCTATCATGGTGCATGTGGAAGAACTCGATCTGGATACGCATGTGTAACCAGCCTAGAGCGATCGTTCTTTTGCAAGCTGACCCATGACGACGTCCTCCTGGTTTCTGATGCTTTCTTTGCTCCAACATTCATGGAAGCTCTGTTCTACTTTATGCACCTCTTGTTCGAGCGTCCTCCCACAGTTTTAGGAGAAGAAGCAGCGGATCCATCAGATTTTATTGTCGAGACAAATACAAGAAACAAAAGATATGTTGTAGATATGCGCATACAAACGATAAAACTCTGCAGGTTGTTGAATTTCAAGCCCAAAGACATCGAGGCCTTTGTCATGCCCCAACTTCCAGAGCTGGACTTCTTGCGTGATGCAAGGCACCTTATCCATAGCGGAGGAAAGGTCTCAGTGTTTCGGGGGGATTTGGAATCAGGGAGGAAGGCTATTGTCAAAGTTTGCAACTCTTCCGACCAGCTGGAGGAGGCTGTGCGTGAAGTGTGGATGATGGTAAAACTCAAGGACCTTCAAGGTGACGTGATTCCGCGCCTCTATGCTGCTGGTTTCATGGATGGAGGACTAGGCTGGGTTACCATAATGCAAGACATTGGAGGCATGAGCATCGACAAAGACTGTGAAAACTTAAGGCCTTACCTCTCGGCAGCAAAGTCTGCCTTGACTGTGATGCACAGGGCAAATGTGAGTCATGGTCGAGTGATGGAGTCTAACATTATTGTGTCCAGGGAAGGTGGCAAAGTCATGTGGATAGACCTTGGAGCGGCATGCTTGTTTGACAAGGATGAAGACGCTGATGAGTTCTTACAGTTTGCAAAGAGGGATCAAAGGCACATGGAAAAGCTTTTCAGATTCTGAAAGATTCCTACTAGATTGCCTGAAGTAGCGTTTTTCTTTGAATGTGCTTTGTGAAGATTTCAATATCTAGAGAAAGCAGGAAGTTGACATATTTGCAAATATTGTGAATTTCTTAAATTTGGTCCCCCTTATTGGTGAGAATATGCTCTTCGCTAAGTCATGCTCAAACATAACCTATGGTGTCCATCCGGTTTTTTATACTGCCAGGCCAAATAGAATTGTAGCGGGAGTGCATTACTTGGAAGAATGCATGCATGTGGACTATTTTCCCTTGCTCTCGGGATTTCAAGAATCTCACTTCATAAAGTTTTGCAAATATGCTAAGATCTAATATTGATCTAAAAGCATGACAAGCGTATTGAGCTCTCTTTCATGTTCCTCTGTCCACGAGCGGAAAGACTGTTGTAGATCAATCCAAAGAACTTCGGCTTTACCACCTTGCAACTGGTAACACATGTTTGCAAGCCGGATATCGCCGTGGCTCATGTCGAGGGAGTGAATGGATTTGAGAGATTGTATGGCGCTCTGCTTCATCTCGGGGCCTAGCCTCCCTCCATTCTGGTTCGCAAGCACCTCCAGGTTAACCCCCGCATCCGAGAAGGCCAGAAAGAAGAGCGCCCCTGACAAGAAACCATACTCGAGGAGCTTTGGAACGCACACTCCTTCAACCGCAACAAGCCTGTCATACGCATCAATCTCTCTCACGAAATCCAGCATCAGGTGTGGTCTCTGCGTCACGTCCAAGACCTTGAGAACAACAGCCTCCTCGTCCAGTCTCGCCCTGTACACGCTCGACGATCCAAAACGGCCCAAGCAAGAGTGGAACTCGACGCTCTTGAGATCATAGACCCGATAGTACTCGAGCATGTCAGCCTCGTGCAAATCCGCGGCCACGCACGCCCTCTTGACAATGGAGTCAAGAACAAGCTTGGTTGCAGCTAGACCATGACTGGGTGACGAAACAATGTTCCCCGGATCGTCGAGTACCACTAGATGCGAGAGATACCACAGCGCTGCGTAGATCCCAGGTCGACACTCGCTAGCCTTGATGGACTCCGAGACCAAGAGACGATCGCCATCGAGCTTGCAGAACCAAGAACTCTCAAAGTTGGTCAGGATTCCATACACACTGCCGAAGCCATAGTGCGCGTTGAGCCGGAGATACGCAAGCATCTGCTGCAAGGCAAGCTTCGATACCAATCCACCCA